TCAATGCATCCTCAGCAATATGTATCTCGGGCCTTGCCTTATTATTTTGATTGTTCTTCAAGTTGAAGTTGCAAATCTTTCACGTTTAAGTAAATGCCTTAATTTGCTTCGCATAATGCGTGCAGGAAGCATTGGAGGCTCATGATGGTGCTAGTAAAGGGAAATACACCATCGGACTTGGACAAGATTGCATGGCATTTTGTACAGAGTCAGAAGATGTCATCTCAATGAGGTCATTATTTTTTATTTTAAAAATTTTTTTTTTTTTGGTTCAGTAATAATGAATACTGAAACACTTGGCGATATATAATTGTGTGCATCATGTGAAATACCAATTCCATATATGAACTAAGGAATGCTACGTTTAATATTTACAAGCTACAGTTTCCGCTAATGTAAATAACAGAGTAACGGGAATTCAAATGTCAGGGATGCCCAGTCCAAACTCCAATGTTATCAAAGCAAATCAATTCTCCTTGATTTACTTCATGGTTGAACTGTAATGATTGCAAAGCCGTATTGTTGAAATTGTCAGGAAAACGGGAAGATCTAATCTTGTAACATTTTGGCCTGCTCCTGTAGTGAATCACTTATCTTCAATTTCTGTGAGTCATGACGTTGTAGTAGGATTTGATGGAGGAATTTCTGGAGGCATTAAATAATGCATTATGGCTGCATATTATGAATTTTCATATATTCCTTCCTAACTTCTACGAAGGTGGTTATCTTCCCTAGTTGCAATTCTTGAAGTTCAACCTTTTCATTTTCAGTTTAACAGTGGTAACATCCCTTCTTGAGAATTATGAGATTGATCCCAAACAAATTGGTCGTCTGGAAGTAGGCAGCGAGACTGTGATAGACAAGAGCAAGTCCATTAAAACGTTCCTGATGCAGATCTTTGAGGTACTTTTCCATTTTCAAACTGCAAGGCTAGATTGTTCTCCTTATTAAAAGTAATTTTCTGGAGTATAGTTGATTTCATTTGCCATTAGATGGTGGTTTAGAAACTTAACCAATTGATACATGTATTTACACAAGTGGGTTTGGTTTGAAGTGTTTGATGTTGGTTTAAAAGCCATTGAGCAGTCATTATAGCGTATTCCCAGCAGAGCACACTGCTAAAGTTAAATATTGCTAGCTGGGTTTTCATCTCGGTTCTATGACTAGATTATAGAACATGCAGTTTTTTTTTTTTTGGTTTGAAAGTGCATGGTCTTTTTGCAGTGTCATTAAATACTATTTACAATCATAGCTTTTTGATACTCATTTACTTGTTGGATACAAGCAGAAATCTGGAAATTCCGACATTGAGGGTGTTGATTCCACAAATGCATGTTATGGAGGAACTGCTGCTTTGTTCAATTGTGTAAACTGGGTGGAAAGCAGTTCCTGGGATGGACGCTATGGACTTGTTGTCTGCACTGACAGTGCGGTGAGGTCACTTCCCATTTTCACATGGCATTTAGACTATATACTATAACTGTAAACATGCTTTGTACTCTTTTCTTAATACAGTCCCAGAGAATTTACAAAGTCTGACCCCAAAGATGCATGTTCTAGGATCCATCATTCTTATTGAATATAATTTCATGCATGTGTATTGGGTGTGTTCTTTCTCAGGTCTATGCTGAAGGGCCTGCTCGGCCTACTGGTGGAGCTGCAGCTATTGCCATGCTAATTGGTCCTGATGCGCCTATAGCTTTTGAAAGCAAATTGAGGGGAAGTCATATGTCTCATGTCTATGACTTTTACAAGCCCAATCTTGCTAGTGAATATCCAGTAAGCTCCTTAATCCCTTTACAATTTATGTCCAAGTACTTCTCTAGCATGCTTGCAGCATTCTTTTGGTCTTGAGAACATATTGTGTGAGATGGTATAATATTTGAAAGTGTTTTAGTTCTTGGTTTCCAGCTGCAACTTATCCATCTACTTTGCATGGTGTAGGTTGTCGATGGGAAGCTTTCTCAAACATGTTACCTAATGGCCCTTGATTCTTGCTATAAACATTTCAGTCACAAGTAAGTTAATTGTGACATTGTGTATCTCCAGTTCTGTTTTCATGGACTCTTGATTTCTAAGTAATGTTTACGTGCTTCACCATTTTACTTTTTGCAGATATGAGAAACTTCTGGGGAAACAATTTTTTATTTCTGATGCTGACTACTTTGTATTTCACTCTCCTTATAACAAGGTAGGTTAGGTTGTTAGGATGCCACAATACCATTATAAGCGGAAAACATACAAGTCTTTGTGGTATTTAAGAATACATAATTTAGCATCTTACTTTTCATTTTGAATTATATCTACCATAATTAATGGATATCTGTTTGACATATGTGTACGTCCCTTTAATACTTTGAACTACTGCAGCTTGTACAAAAAAGTTTTGCTCGTTTGGTGTTCAATGACTTCCTGAAAAATCCTAGGTTTGCTTCATCTTGTCCGGGAAACTCCCTAAATCTTTATTTGTCCGGTATATGGGTTTCTGAACATCAATATCAATTTCAGCTTTGTGGGTGAGGTTGCTAAAGAAAAGCTGGAGCCTTTTTCAACGTTATCTGGTGATGAAAGCTACCAAAGCCGAGATCTTGAAAAGGTCAGGCAGAGCTCCACCATTTGGGGAGCTAATTCTTTTTTTTTTTTTTTTGCCAACGCTAATTCTTTAGTTTTTAACTGTTCACATATAGAGAATTCTTTGGTGATGGAAAATTTTTAGACTTGCTGCTCATGTTGTGCAATATTCTTGGTTTACAGGCATCCCAACAAGTTGCAAAGCCGCTATATGATGCAAAAGTCCTGCCTACCACTTTGATACCCAAACAAGTCGGCAACATGTACACTGCTTCTCTTTATGCAGCATTTGCATCCCTCATTCACAACAAACACGGCACATTGGTAAATGATTGGGTTAATACGTGTATCAAATGCAAGGCTCGATCACTTCTAAAGTGCACGCTTTCTGACAAAAGATGTATGGTTTGTAATTTTCAGGCAAATAATCGGGTGGTACTCTTCTCATATGGAAGTGGCCTAACTGCCACAATGTTCGCTTTGCGATTAAGTGATGGTCAACATCCATTTAGCTTATCAAACATTGCTAAAGTGATGGATATTGATGGAAAATTGAAGTCAAGGCATGAGGTACTGATCTTCAAAAGCCTGTTCAGTAATGTAATTATTTTGACTGTGTGCTTGGTAAGTTTAAAACTAACAAAGCAATCAAAGAATCAGATATGGTTGACGAGATGCACACTCTTGATTTTTTTTGCCAAGGAAAAGAAAACTAAAATGAAGATTTGTCTGTTTAAATGCCCAAGAACTATAGCTTGAAGATTAACACTAGCATATGTCAATGTAAGGAGGAAGTGTTTTGACTCAATCAGATTCACATTTCTGGGCCATTGCTCTAATATTTAACAAGATGCTTAAACTGCTAAATCAGAGTCCTGCTTCTTGGTCATACAATTGGATGAAGTTTTGATAAGTGCATGGTTTGATGCAGTTTACTCCGGAGAAGTTCATTGAAACTCTGAAGCTAATGGAACAAAGGTATGGTGGCAAGGACTTTGTGACAAGCAAGGACACTAGCCTTCTATCTCCAGGCACCTTCTATCTCACTGAAGTCGATTCCATGTATCGGAGGTTCTATGCAACAAAAAGTAGTGAAAACGGCAGGGCTCCAGCTGAAAATGGTGTGATTGCCAATGGTCACTGATACTGAGACGCAGAACGTGAAATGCTATGAATGGTATTTGTGATTGCATTATTAGTTACGTGGTTACAGGGAAGTCTATTGGTTTTCATCGTAGCAAATGTTGAATGTTCAAATGTTGCTGCTTCAAGTAATCGTTCGCCAGTTGTTCAAACTATTATATTTTTCTATAGTGGTTGTAATGTAAAACAGGATTTGTCATCAAATTCAGCTAGTTTCAGAGGAGGATCACTTAAAAACACTAGCCTTTCAACAAACCAGAGAAGATGATGGCACATCGAGTAAATGTTTGTCAATGTTTTGCACCCGCACACCGCTTTGTTACTGATTGGTTTTAGATGAAAGAGTGTAAAATTATCATGTCCAGTTTATAAGGCATGGAAAAAAAAAAAAAACTACTTCCAGTTCTAATTATAAGATCTCGTTTATGGTCTACAAATAAAGTTTTATAATAAGGACCGGAGATAGGATCGGCGTCTAATAGAGTTATTTGTTCGATTAGATTTCATTGGGACGAAGCATGAGGAGCTGCGAGTTAATGATATTTCATATTCGTGACAACTCTTTGCTTCAATCTGCAGTAACTGTTGACATGATGCCAATTGCCATTAATTTTAAAATTTATTGATTAAGCAAATTTTAAAAGAGAACTAGAACAAAGCCCCCCGCAACAATGCACGAGGATCTGAAAGTTTCCGAATCTGATAAAGATTGTGGCTCGAAGTACTTACATCTTTACATATAGATTCCGATGAGAAAAAGAAAGGTAAAAAAGCATTACAAAGATAGTCGGCTTCTGTATAAAATGCACAGAAACAAAGACGTGATTATATAATTAATAGCATGTACTGATATGATCTCTGAAGGATGGGGCCAAGGTCTTCTCCCCTATATATCCAATAATAGCACACTAAAATCCTATCTGCTCTTAGGACTTCAATGAAATAAGAATCATTTGCCAAAATCGTAAATAAAGTTTCCAAATGAAGGTGCCTCCAGAATAAAGCATATCATTCCATTGGAATTATGATCGACGCCCCAACCTTCACCTACTACACATTTTTTAATTCCAAATAGGATTTAGGGTTTTTCCTTTTTGGACAATAGATTTAGCTCGTCTAAAACGTGATTGTAAAACCGATCACGCTCTAATGAGTTCTAATCTGCGCGCTGAAGCTGAATTAAAGAAAAAGATGTAAAAGAGGACATAAGAATACTCCTACTATCTTTTAAAAATATTCATACTTTTCTGGTGTGCATGGACCACCATAAATTGGTGGTGCCTACCAATAAGAGCCATTTATTAAATCAATAAGAGAAATATTTTAGGTCCTCCTGACGTCAGCCTCTGGCCTTATTGGTGTAGAAATGAGCCCACCCGTCCCCGCTATTCCCAAGTGGTCCACGGAATGGGGGGGACGACTAATCGGAGAAGGCCACCAGGTAGGACCCAACACGTGGCAGCCCCTGGTGATCCCCTAACGAATTCGATCTAATCATTACCGTTGGATTGTTCAGGTTTCGCAGAGACGGTGCATTGTGATCACCCCAATAACAAATTAAAATTTTAAATTAAAAAAAGTAAAATAAAAAGGGAATTTCCCCACTTGGTAAGCCCCCCGGGGCCCCAACCTTCGTTGCTCACTTCTCCCCCATTTTACTAATCATAACCTCTGACTCTGTTTTATTGCACTTCCTTGTGTTCCCAGCAATTCAATTTCCAGGCTCCTTCCGTTATATCTCTGTGATTTCCCTATTCGTTGCCGGTTTTCTCCATTCTCTTTCCGGTTTCTTCAAATGACGTCGTCTCAGGAGCATGAGATGGATCAAGACGACGATGGCGGAACTTCCGACCTCAGCACCAGCGCCGGCGATCCTCGGGCCATCAATACCGACAAAAACAATGGACTTTCGAAAGAGCCTGTCTCGGACGATCCCATGGCTTTCCAGGCCTTGCCGTTGAAGGAGGAGCCCGTTGATTCGGACCCGCCGTCAGACCAGGAACAAAAGACGCAGCCTTCCTCGTCGGCTCCGATTGGAGTCGTTCCTGTGGCGATGCAGATGCAAATGCCCCTAACTATGTCCATGCCCATGCCGGTCGCTACCACGAGACGCTCCTCCACCAAGGACCGTCACACGAAGGTGGAAGGCCGCGGGCGTAGGATCCGAATACCCGCCACTTGCGCGGCTCGGATCTTTCAGCTGACTCGGGAGCTAGGTCATAAGTCTGATGGCGAAACCGTGCGGTGGCTCCTCGAACACGCGGAGCAGGCCATCATCGAGGCCACCGGCACAGGCACCGTCCCAGCCATCGCCGTCTCCGTCGGGGGAACTCTGAAGATTCCTACAACGTCTGGCGCCAAACAGCAATCCGGACTCCGAACTCAGGAAGAAGCGAAAAAGGCCGTCGAATAGTGAGTTTGTGGACGTGAGTGAAGCCGCCTCACAATCGTCCGGTTTGGCCCCGGTTCAATCGGCTCTTCCGCAAGGCCTTGTGCCTGTGTGGGCAGTGGGCAACACTAATATGATGATCCCGGCGAACGCCTTTTGGATGATCCCTCCGGCGACAACGACGACGCCAGTAGGTGGAAGTCCAGGATCGTCAAACCAACAACCTCAGATATGGACTCTGTCGCCGACGGTGACGCCCGTATTCAACATGGCCGCCAGACCCGCATCGTCTTTGGTGGCAGCAACAAATACCTCGAGCGGCATAGAAGTCTCGCCGGTGGGATGCAACAATTCGTCCAACACAGCGGCGGTGAGCACGAGCACGGTGGGGCCAACGGCGGCGAAGAAATCGACGATGGCACCGAGCAGTTGTAGCGGGGCGACGGGCAGTAGTAGTAGCAGCGGCAGCAAGGCGCATATGTTGAGGGATTTTTCATTGGAGATTTACGATAAGCAAGAGTTGCAGCTGATGGGGCGGTCAGGAGGGAACAAGCAAGCGTGAACTTCAAACGAAGGAGACCGCTTGTCCACAAACAGAAAAGCTGTCGAAATAGAGAATAATAAATGTGATTAGATTTAGAAAGCCTTTTCTTTTTATTCTAATGTCGTCTGTACTTGGAACTTTCAATGAATGAAGCCAGCAATTTTGACATTGGAGCAGGTTATGCAGTTTTGCCATGTGTTTTTGGTTTCTTTAGAGGATTTGGTACAGTAGAAATAGAAATGCAATTGCAGGGATAAGCACGGAAGGAAGGCTTTGGGTACACATTGTGCAATCAATAATGTTCAAGTTCTGGCCTGCTAGTGCTATTATTCATTGCAGGGGGGAAGGAAGGAAGGAAAGCGGATCAGTGAGGATGGGGCACACGGTGGGGACTGGGAAGGGGACTATGAAAGAAGGGAGAGAGAAGTACGGACTACGGAGGCTTTTTGGGGGCTTTAAGCACGTGAATGCAAAGGCCGACACGTGTGAAAGTGAGTGACGGGCTGCTCCGCCTTCCACTGACTGAATTTTCATTTTAAGAAAAATCGGATTACTGTGTTGATTTAAGTGGCGGGGATGGGTTGTGACTTGGGATTATGGTCCATCATTGCCTTATAAATAGATCCGTGCGTGTTGGCTTTCTTTTACAGCTCAAGATGTTACTAATCGGTACGAGCGAAATGGGAGAAAAGGAGAGGAAAAAGAAAATTTTAATAAATTCTATTTAAAAAATTAGAAAAATAAGATTTTGAAATTTAATAAAAAGAAGAAGCAATATAAAAGAGTAATAAAATTAATTAAAATCTTTTTACTTCTACTTTTTAAATTTTTTAAATCGAGCTTATTAAAATTTTTCTGTCCTCCTTATTTTTCTTTTATAGATCCTAATAGCACGTTTGATTCGCATTTTCAAGAGTGAATTTTTTTTTTTTTGCAAATTGAAATTGAGTTAAAAATCAATTAACATAATTTAAGTCAGTTTTAAAAAAAATTAAATCTTACAAGAAAGTAAAAAAAAATAGAAATCAAATTACATGAAAAAAAATATTTGAACGTTAAAGTGATTTTTAGGCATTTTGCCTGAATCCTCATCCAAACCACATTTTCACTGCAACTAGCTTTTAAGGCTTCGATAATGTTTTGGAACCCCAGACAGATATGGAAATATTTTGATTTCGGGAAAAAATAAAACGAATTGGATATATGTAAATAATGGGTAGCATGAAAATGAGGCTAGTGATGGGTGGTGGAGCCCCCTACGAGTCCCCACTCGCACTATCCGACCCCACATACACGCGCGTGTTTTGTTCCCGACGACTCTCCGCGGGGTCCACTCACTCCACTTTAGCCTCGCTTCCCTCACTCCCACGTGATCATTAACCTTTTTGTATTACAAATACTTTTATAATCTCTTTAGAAATTTGTTTTCATATTTTCAAGAAAAAATTACAATCAAGTTATATAAGAGATAAATAATTACTAAAAAGTCTTAATAACAATCTCAACAGCCTATAATAACAAATCCTATAGTGAGAATGATAACTTCTGAAACTTGTTTTCCAATTGTTTTTTTTACTTGAGACCTCATTGTAATTCTCCCTATTTTCAATACTTAAGTCCTATTACAACAGATCTAGATATGTACTGACAAAATATAAACAAAAAATGCATATATAATTTAATAAGACCTGTGTGGAAGGAAGATCATACACAGTTTAACAAGAGCTACATAGTATACAACTTACAGATCATACTGCAATTTACAGATTAGTCCATATCAAATATTGACAAAAAAAAAATTATTTGCTGATGAATTATAATAAATTAAATGAGGAAGAAGATAAAGTAGTGCTCGGAGCTGATTTTGAGAATGACTATTAGCATGGATAACAGAAGGCATAAACATTTGGGGGAGGCTCCACCAATGAGTTTGGTCATTGGTGTTATGAATAATGGAGCAAAACATTTAGGGTGCTTTGGAGTGGTGCCAACACGCATCGTTTTGACTCCATTCGGCCAGCTCTTAAAATTGATTACATATCTCAAAGCAACCCCTTCTCATCTCATCCCTTCCACTTCAACTTCAAACACTAAACACTGCTGTTAAAGTGCACTTGTTTGCCCACAGCACAACAAACAATAGGAGTTTCATACACGAGTCTCAGCAGGGCGGGAAAATCTAAACAATGGATTGGTCAAATACTGTGAGTTGTAGTAATTAGATAATATCAGTGAGGGCTTCTTTAGAACTACTTAGAAAGTATTTGGATAGAAACTAAACCATGATTTTAAAAGTATTTTTACGGTATACGAAATAAATATATAGAGAAGTGTGCCTCATTTTGCAAAAAAAGTGATTCCGAAAAACACTTTTCTATATTATCAAATACCCCCTTAATATAATTGTTTTTATATAAATCAAGACAAAATTCTTTTCATAAACTACTTTTAAAGCCTTCAGTTCTCATTCTAAAAAAAGATCTAAGATGCCAAAGAAACAAAAAGAGTCATGTTATGTTACATTGGTGTCTTAAATATATGCGTGTGTATAATTTTAAAATTCTTTTGACATCTCGAGTTAGGATAGCTAGCACTGTTTAAAATTCTCATGTGACTAAGGGATAATTGAATAAAAACTCCTACATTTTATGAGACACGAAGAAAGATCTTAGACATGAAACTTCCGCAGCCATGTTTCTTGGAGATTACAAGAAAAACTGCAGAATAATTAGATTTGGAAAAAAAAAAATATCAAATGCAGAAGCTGTCCCAAAAGGCTAAAATCATGAATGTCCCAAAAGGTTCAAGGTTACAAAAATAAAAGCGCACACAAAGGACAAGGAGCAAATCCACACCCACTGTGTGCCCCCTCTACTCGTAATTTGAAACTGATCATAAGATTTGTCTGGCTCCTCTAAAACTCCACATGCCATTCCACGCTAAATCAGTCCGGGGCATCATTTCTTTTCTTTTTTCCTTTTGCCCATTCATATGTGTCCAGTTTTAATGCGAAATTAACCAAAATTCTAAAGTAAGCATGCCAAACTATCTTTCTTTCTGTTTTATTTGGGTCTGATTTTCTCATTAATTTCTGAATTATGGGACAAAATTCTGATTCATCCCGCACATTTTGCTGACTCTCCTCCTCTAGTACCATAAATTAACGGATCTATATATAATTTCAGCTTCGTCAAACGAGGCCCATCGTCAAGCACAGAAGCTCAGCAAATATCGAGGAGAGATATTTAAATTTAAAATATCATATTATTATTTGATAATATTCTGCGATTGGGGAGTACGCGGGGCATACCTGGGCACGGGGCACGGGGCACGGGGACAGATGCTTAAAATATGCACAATAATGCTGACAACTGTAACTAAATGGACCCGACCAGGCCCCATATCTGCAGTCGCTGGATGTGGCCCACTATCCTCCTGGGCTTACTGAAGTCAATAAATTTAAACCCTATAACCAGCCCAAATTGTTATCGCATCCGTGAGCATGCATGGCAATGATTGTTTTGCTGCCCACATATCGATAACAACAATACGCCAATATATAAAATAAAAGTAATAATCAAACACCGAAGGATTGAATCTAGCAGAAGAGACTAATTCCCATCATGTGATAAAACAAGATTTGAATCTCCGTTAGGAAAAGTGCTCACATTTAGTGTCAGTAATACTTTAAATATGACTGCTCCAATACGAGAATACCTATATCTGTCCCCAAAAAAAAAAGTAATAATCAAACATGAAATATAACAAACCATATTATTTACAAGTTTTGAATAATTTAATTTATTTGTTGAAAAAAATTAGTAAAATTTACTTATCATATTTATTATAATCCACAAGTGAAAAATTTGAATTGAGCATTGTATGAAATTTAAGACCAGTTACTATACTTATCACTTGTAAATAATACGATTTTTATTTCATATATATTAATACACACAAACACAAATGTATATTTATATATTTTTTGTGAATTAAAAAAATATATAATTTTGTTGTTCATTTGTATTTCGTTGATTCTCATTCTTATAATGTAGTTAGCACCAATTTTTGGCAGCCGTCGCTTCCCATCACACGCTCATGTCCTTCGCTTCGCTGACGAGTGTTCCTTCTACTATTTTTGAGCGTGTTAACACTTGCGGCTGCAATCGTTAGGGGTGTTCAACTGTGTCCCGTCCCTATCCCAATCATTTTGGACAAGACAATCCTGTCCTGAAAGCTTTTGGGACGAGACGAAAGCGGAACGGGATAAAATTGTTTTGGGACGGGACGTATTATCTTTATTTTTAGTTGTTATATATTTATTTTATTTATCACTGTAATAGTATTTTGGTAATGATATTTATCCATTGTTATTTTTTTATTTGTTTATAAGTTGTTTTTGTATGAGTTACATAATATTCTTTCTAGTAAACATTTTATGTTTTTTTTTGTCTCTAATGATTACAAAAAAAAATTTCTTTGTCAGTATTTTGTCATTTTCATCTATTTTCCTCACATGATTTTTATTATAAGTTTTTATATTTCTTGTATAGTTAGTTTTCAAATTACAAAAATTAAAAAAAAAAAAAAAAAAAAGATGGGACGTTCCTGTCCGTCCCAGTTATGTCCCATCCTAATTGGGACGGGACGAGATACAGGACGGAGAAGCCGTCCTGTCCCAATTATCAGGAGGGGACTGGGACGGGGTCGTTCCTATTCCGTCCCATGAACACTCCTAGCAATAATCAATTCCATAGGTTATGGTTATTCATCACTGGAATCAGGAATGAGCCCAGTGGCCTATATAGCATCATTCTTGCTATCGTGAAAGATTAACGTTCTCTAAGTCAAAATGCAGCACTGGAAACTCTTCGAACATGAAAAATTAAAGCACTATTCCATATAAATAAGCTGCAACTGAATTATTCACCAAAAAGTCAATAAAAATACAAGAAATCCAACAGAGTAAGTGCACCTGCAATGACTATTAACCAAGAGGGACACCTGAGATTAAAGAACACAGCGTCCAATCCATACAAGCAATTCAATGTAACAGTAGAAGGGGGGAAAATGAAAACCTACGTTCTTCAAGCTTTAACCTTCTGATTCGGCTGGAACACATACTTAATGAGGGATTCCTTGATGGACATGAGTTCCGGGAATTCTTCCTTCAATTTAGAGGCGTCAAGCTCATTGTTGCTCCTGGGTGCAACTATTACCTTAGCCTGCTCCTCAAGAGTAAAGTTCGTCCACTTAAACTCGGGGTTAATGTATTCCTTGTACATCTCCAAGATTTCATTGTGGCTTACCACTCCAGGGTTTGTGAAATTCCAGATGCCAGTGAGGTTTCTCTTGGCCATTTCTAAGGAAATGGGAAGCAGTTCATCCAATATAGTCATTGAATTTGGAATGTTTACTACCTTCTCATATCGAGTGATCTTTGTGATGAAATTGCGTGGGTTACATAAATCTGATGAGATAGGCATTCTGACGCGCAAGGTACAGACATTCTCATAGTTCCTGAGCAGATCTTCCACCTAAGACAAGCGGCAGGCAAATTCAGCAAATACGGCCAAGCTAAATTGTTTAAATTTTCAAATCAATGCATGTATACAGTTGGGTAACAGCATGAACACAAAAGTTGACCTGATCGGGGTTCTGAGATTTGAGATTCATCTTATATACAAGATTTTGTCCTTTAACTTCAAAAATCGACAAAATCAGAAGTTAAAGGTACAGAAAAATCTTCAGTGCACCATATAGGTACGTTACATGTTCATATTATTTCTCTCTGACTTGATCCGCCTGTCAAGATAGAATGAGTTTGCCCAATAATACTCTGCTTCTAATATGTTTACCAATCTAGCATACTAGAACTATGTTTAGCAAGAATTTCTATGACGACAATGTCGCATAGTATTTCAACCACATCAATGATGCGAGATCTGATCTCGGGAGACCAAAATCTTCATAAACTACTAGCTTCACAGGTGGAGATGTGGGCCCACTAATAATGCCAACAGTAGACTTCAGCAGCACATGGGACCTGCGTTATTTTATTTATTTATTTATTTATCATTTTCTAAAACTGAATGTGTAAGAGATCGGAAGCAAAGGGATGGAAGGAAATCAAAATGTGACGAGTCCAGATCTATTAGCGTAAACAATTTCTGTAATATATAGGAGCATCACCAAATTTGCATTGTGAATGGAACATCATACCTCTTGACACAGAAGTCTAGATATTAACATCAACACAGCTCAACAAATGGTAGAGCAATCACTGACAAATGACACAATCAGCTAAAGTATACTTCCCATATCGATTGCAATGGACTGTATAAATAACTTTCAAAAGCTGATCCATAAACCACATCCGTTTGAATTTTCGTGTGCACTGTTAGTCTACTACATTGTATTCATGGCTAGAGAGACCGAATCGAGTTTAATTATTGAAAGAACGAACAAAGGGATCCAAAAAGACTTACCATGGCCTTGGTCTTGGAATAGAAGGATCCGATGAAATTGGGAGTGTCCTCTTCCTTGAAGCCGATGCCGGATCCGATGAGGTGATCGGAGTCGTACTCAAAGATGCAGCCAGTGGCATAGTTGATGAGGATGAGGCCTCTCTCCCTGCAGACATCGGCCAAGGTCAAAGTGCCCACCACGTTGGTTCTAATGGTCTCGACCTTGTGAGATTCGCACCAGTCCACATTCGGGCGCCCCGTGACTCCGGCAGCGTTGAACACGTGAGTCGGCTTCACGTGAGCAATGTCGGCTTCCAAAGAAGAGCGGTTCTCAAGGCGACCGCAGCCGTATTCGAAGTCGATGCCCTGAGCTTGGCAGAGTTTGCCGAGGAGACCCCCAATCCAGCCGGTGCGGCCGTAAATCAAAAACTTGAGGGGCTTGTCGCCGGAGGTGCCGTTAGCCGGGAAGCCCATCTCCTGCAAGCAAGATGGGATCTGCTTCTTCCCTTCGATTTCTTTCAAGCAAAAGGATACTCAAGATCTCGGCGATGCTGTCTTTTATATCCGGTGGAGCACATTCACTCCCATTTTAGCCTTTTTTTTTTTAAAAAAAAAGAAAAATGTTTCGTTTGGACACAATGGCCCGACGGTGATTATTAAAAATATAAATTTAAAATACACGCAATTCCCGTTTAAATATGTCAATTTCTTAATCCCAAAAGTTTATATACTTGTCTAAAATTGCGTTATTTATAATTAAGATGATAGTACTTATTACTCTTTTAATCATAAATATAAAACCTATTTTATAGTATATATATATACTATAAAGTAAATCTTATATTTAGAACTAAAAAAAGTGTATGTTTTATTGTAGCTGCTTTTTTGGCCAAATTTATTGTAGATACTTAATGATATAGTTGTACTATATTAGTATTATATCGATCATAATTATTTTATATTTTTATGCCCGTCAGTTTAGAAGTATGATATGAGCAATGACGTAACTGGTACCCGGTCTGAGCAGGCATAAGATCAAAATCAGAAGGAAAAAAAAGAGTCAACATAGAATCGGTTAAAACCAATAAAACTATTGAAGAATTGGTTTTTTTTTTTAAATCTTCCAACAACCCAAAACAATGTTATTATTCTTTTTTTTTGTTCTATAGTTATTATTTTTTGGTCTAATACTACTTTCAGTTTTAGTTATAAGACCTCATTAATAGACTATAATTGAGATCTTATAATTAGGACCGGAAGTAATAGTTGGTTTTTTCTTTAGTATTATACATGTTGATGATTCATTGGTGATTGGTTAATAATGGAAACTCATGTTGGTTTGGCTCGACAATTAATATGGTGTATTTGAAAATTTCAGTGATTTGTAATAGACAGCAGTGGTAAATAATTTTGTTATAATATTAGCATGATTGGCTATAAATTTGATATATATGTGTGTGTATATATATATATATATATATTACATCGATAAAAGCTGTCTACAATATTTTTATTTTAAATACGTACTTTTAAAATTATATTACTTCAAGAAAAAATTTAGATCAAATTTCTCATACTCATTATATTAAGTTTTCTACTCACATGTGATTATGTGTCCTTTTCATTTCATGTAGACTTATGATTAATTGTTATTAAATGCTAATATTTTAAAATTACTAGAAAATTTGACATAATAATTAAAAAAAACTTGATATAAATATTTATTTTAATTGAGATATAATCGATTATGGTTCAGTAATCAATGATCTATCTGTTCAATGCTTGGCCCGATTCTACCAATAATCCAATACAGGTGATCGCGTGTTTTGTTTGTTGTTACTTGTGCCCCGTACTCACGCATAATGTCCAAAGCTAAAACAGTAATTTCATTAAGGTTGCCATGAATGGAGGATAAACCAGTTTGTAATTTAACAAAGCAATGGAAGTGTAGGTAAATTGCCATAACATTTACCTTTTATGATGAACTAATGTTCAAATTTTTATTGGAATAGTGTTCAAATTAGTATCTCATAGTGCCTTAAGTAGATTTGCTTTCAATAATATGATGCCCATTTTTAGGGGGAAAAATACGTTTACATTTGGAAGCTGAAGAGATAGCTCTTGTTATACTATTTTTTTAATGTTATATTCTGTTTGAGCTATGATTGTTAACTATAATGTAAACTTAGTTTTTTTTTTTAACAAATTTTGAGGCGAGTCACACATATAATTTATATTTTATGATATGTTGATGATATATTGTTTCCGGTCCTTAATATAAAAACTAGTTTGACATTCAATTTAGTCTTAAATATAAAATACCAATTTATTTTGTTTTTTATATTTATCTATTTTTCGCAAAATAGTCTTTGTAATAGTTACAGATGTTAAATGTCTTGTCAAATAATAGTTCTAAAGATATTTTAAAGAAGATAACACCTATTTATTACAAACAAGTAACTTAGCTAATTTTTTTAATCTATTCAAACTAATTAATTAGTTTTTATATTAAAAATCAAAATTTCCGCATCCAGTCAATTTAACTTCATGACTAATCTCGCCCGTTCCTTGATTTAAAAGGGATAAAAAAACACTGAAGTTTGGAGTCACGTCAGGGTCCTATTAGGCTTGAAGGTTGAAGAAAATGTGTAGGATACAATTCAATGGGATGTGATATGCATAACCTGATGGAGGAGGAGGTTAATTTTCAGAAGTTAAAAGCAGAAAACGATTTCTCCTCTTTATTGTATTAGTCCAAAACAATTAAAATCCGAAAAATTGATGGAAAAGTTGCCTGAGAATTTATTATAATTGAAAAGAAAATGCGTGATGAAAGCTTTCACCTCACCTCAGTATATAATATAAATGACGATGGCGTTGATACAACGACAGATTCTAGTTGTCCCATAGTGGACCCAGATTTAGGCTTCGCCCTTGACATATGACGCACCAAACAATCTATAATATGGGTCTAATAGGCCCAAATTTAACAGGCTAAGCATCACGTTTGGCCCAAATACAGATTATGTTCTCCAATCTCCGAGTACCTCTCGACAAATGTTATTAACAGGCATTATTGGGTCTAGCGAAAAAGGCTAGTCTTTCATAATGTGATGAATTAAAATTTGAATTCTCATTGAGAGAGGTGCTTACGTTTTTCTTGGAAATCTAAACATTGAATAGTTTTTGTTTTTGTTTTTAAAGCCTAGGATATCTAACACTGTAACATTAGTGGTAATGACTGATCCACTTGCAACGTAAACTTTTCGAAAGGTTGCTGGGTATGGAATCCTCTCCATACACATCCCCTGCCATAGTACATTGAATAGTTTTATTGGCATATATTCGAGTTCAATGTCCCAATATGAGTAGACCGGGTTTCTTACTTCATTAATCTCTGATCTCGAAGGGTGACTAGTTCCACCGTCCATCGATCATTATCGGCTGGAAAACTTCCAAAGAGAGTCGGTATAATCTATCACTTCAAGAGTCTTTAAAATTACACAAGAACCAATGCCTAATATTTCTAGAATAGGAAAAACTAAAACTTATTAAAGCCATCAGAGGCTCTTGTTTGGGATTAATTTTACGATTATTATATCCTTATCTCCTTATCTTTCAACTTATTCTTTATTTTCCTATCATGTAATGCCTGTTTATGACGACGTTGATGGACATAGCTTGAGAAACCACAATGATCTGTCTCTGATCAAGGTCTCATGATATTCCTTCGGTCCTTAATATAAGACTTGATTGTTAAGTTAATTTTGATCCTAAATATAAGATTCATTTATCATATTTATCAATTTTTCTTAAATTATCCCTATAAATACTCCCTCAATCATGATCAAGTAAGAAGGGAGGGAGGATATTAAGAAAGATGATTATGGTGTTTTAACAAAAATATATCATATTACTTATAATTAATTAACTTACCTAACTTCTTTAATCTAATCAAATTAGTTAAATAGGTTTTATATTAACAACCAGAGGAGTAATTATACATATTAAGCGGTACGATCAAGTGAGATGAACAACAATATTGTACTACTAAAAAGGATCCGCATAATGTTTGCTTTCTAAATGATTAATTATCTCAGATTCTTGACCAAAAAAGCAATGGCGCATTACCGTTATTATTAATCATTATTTGTCATATACGGATCTTGTTGGGGGACAAGGGCTACTATTATTCATCAATCAAAGCATTAACCTGTCAGCTTTCTGATAATTGTTTTTCTCCCGCTTTTATTTTCTCCATAGCTATGCTTATGACGATGCTCGCTAAGTGGCTTCGATTCATCGTAATTACAGCTCAACGTCGAGTAAATTCTCAAAAGCACGTTAAAAGAAGAAGAAGAAGCATTTTTCTTTATCAGCGTAAGAAAACTCATGAACTCACAAATGACACGACTCATGAATACGGTCTATGAGCCGCCAAACTAAGCTTGCAACTGCAAGAGCCATATGTTAATGCTCTATCTAAAGCTCTTTTCAGCTGGTCAGAACTCAGAAACGTTGCAAATTAACCAATATACAAAATACAAGAGGGGTTAAAAACCATTTGCCTCGTTAACAAACACAGCATAGTTAAAAGTTACAGAACAGTCGCATACCATCATGTATATCTGGGAGACTAAGTATAGCATAAAGTCGTAATTAGAGCATGGCGATTTTGGGTGTTCGTTCCCATAAGTGTAGGGTTCATATATCTATCTCTTGCGCTTGGACTTCAAAGAGGTGACCGATTGAGAACTGCTGTGCCAATTGCGTTTCCTTTGGTTGATGAACCAATTATTGATCTGCTTAAGCTGCAGACCTGTCTCCTCCACTAGTTTTGCCTTGTCATCTTCCTGATTCCCCAAATTATGCAACATATACATAACCTTGTTAGTACATACTTATATCTCGAGAATATCTAAGCAGTTATTAGTCTCAATTATATATATAGGACCATGCATAACACAGAAATACACAAAGGACCGAATTCAGGAGGAGACAAATTTCTGAAATAGAACTTCCGTGATATTGATAGTGGCAGCAGTAATAAATTTCTACTTCTAGAGTTGCTTTCACGTTGGCAAAAAGATCATGAATAGAACGTGGAAGAGTAGATGAAAAATAAAGAAGTTGAAACTTGTGGGGGATACGCAATAATTATTCATGAAGAAGATGGTCGGCTAGCTTACAGTTGGGTAGGGCCACTTTGAATGTTGCTGCCACCAGTTCTTCAACACTGAGGTTGTGTCTCCAGGTAACTTCCCTGCTCTTCTTTTCCTCAATATTTCCTCTCTCACATCTTCAATTCTCGACTTGAAACCCTGCAGATTCAAAACATGAATCGTTACTTGTTGTCCAGAGGAAAGGAAAAAGAAGAAAAACTTCAGAAGTGATGACTTTCAATTATTCCAACGAAGACGGCGACTTTGAGAATAGTTAACCTGCTTCAGCTCAATTTTTAGTTCCTGACGAACTCTTTCCATCAGTGACCTTTCAGATTCCGTAGGGAGCAGTGGACCAAATCCCATCAGGTCGTGACCTTCAGCTCCAGATTGATCTAAAGAGAAATCCATTGGCAAATCGTCCTCATCATCTGACATTGTTGCACCACTTCCTTCACCCAAACTTACACCTGAAATTTTAACCATTTATGCCATTCAGTGCGTCGGAGTTAACCTTCTCATACCTCTAATATATATCTCCCAGATTTTAAGTACGTGACACAACAAATTGCAGCATCCATCTAGTTCTGTCTCTAGCAGGCTAAAATCAACGTGACTCGAGGCGATCGATACATTAATGTAATTGAAACGCTTCTGCTTTTTCCATGTGACTTTATCTTGGGGCATCGCAGCATTAGTTATTACTTGCTGATGCTTATTTTGAATCCAAATCTTATGATTTCTACATGAATATTAAATATCCATGCATGTGTTTATTATATATACCTATTCATCAGTTATAAGTTGAAATAAAATTATTACAACGGAAAAGAAGATAGCTACGAATACGATCAGTTTTTGTATCTCCCGGCCGCCAAAAACGATAGAAGGAAGATATTTTTATACTGTACAAATGAGTGTCGGCACGGGATTCATTAGGAATTCGCCACAGTAAATATTTAAATATCTAGGTTTTACTGTAATTTGTTTTCTACACGCTATTCATAATTGCCAAGTTACTAATTAGTTAAGAACATAAATCTTTGAGGAATCATTTTACTGGTAAACTTCAATACATTTTTCTAATATATTTGCGTAAAGTCCCCAGCTTGAGGTTAAAAAACGAGTAGCCTTTGGTCAAAGGAAATTTTACTATATTTTCCACTCAGCATATATTTTTCTGTAAGATGGTAAAATAGGTTCAGGAAAAGTTGTGATCAAGATTTTTTCCATAGTTTCGAAGGACATTCTATGATGAAGAGCTGCCTCAAAGTTGCAGTCTCTCTAAAAACTATCCAGATCTGAGTAAAATACTTCGCATATCACCGTAAATATATAAACCTAGCCAGAGGCGAACCATCACAGCAAATTAAAATCATAGTTTTGATGCATTAAAAAAAAGGTGCACGGATACTATGAGGATCCACATTCCTCCAAAACAAGACAACCTACCGAGTTCATTCTTCTCTTCCTGAACCTAAACAGAACGAAGTCAAGCTAAGCATGGATCATTACAAACTAAGTAGCAGCGACTCACACAAAAAGATGTTAAATTCACCCAGCACTAAAGAATCATCAAACATCTGTATATCACACTGCCATCCTTGTACGTATAGTATGAACTCTAGATGTCGTTAAACAAGCAAACTCTGAGACGCAAACTTTCCAAAGAAGTAGTCGAAAATTGAAAGCATTGTCTTAGGGATAAACATAAATAAATCTGGAAGTTCCTTAATTTTAGGATAAAAAATTACACATGATATGGCAGCAGAGCGAAGTTGTTGGTAGAGGGTGGGACTTCCTCAGTTCGCCAAACTAACTAACACATAGTACATAACATTATAGAAGACCCTACCAGTCCCACTCCCTTCACTCTTACCTAAACTAGATGACAACGAAACCTAAAGCTTAATTCTACCCTTTTTTCCCGTAACGTGTCCAACGCTGGAGAAAAGTGAACGAACACCTTACCACCAGAAATATAATATCTCAGTCTTACATGTCTGAGATCTCTTCACAGGAACTCATATTACCCCCCTCCCGAGGAAAAAGACAGCAGTATTAAGTATTAACAATAGGTCTTTTGTACGTTTCTGGGTATAATATAAGTGGTGTGTGCGTGTGTGCGTATCATGCAGTAACAATCGTTATTTCACCTATCTGGAACAAAGTAAGAAAGATGATACTAGGTAATATTTAAAGAATAGAAGTGGAGAGTAAATATATATATACCAGTGAGAGCTTGTAGGGTATTTTCAATATCACGGCAGGCCATAACAGCTTCTACGGCATGGACTTTGACATGTTGCTGAAGCTGTTCTTTGAAAGTACACAACACTAACAAATATTGTGCCTGCGCAGTGATGTCCATGAAGCCTCAGATTAATTAACAGACAAGAAAAGAATTATCAGAAAAATCAAACATGGCTGGAACTACTTTACCAGGAAATTGTCAAGGTCCTGACGCTCGGGGAGAGAAAGGGTGTGGGCTTGCTGGGAGACGTATGATCGGAGGATGTGGTGGGACTGCGATAACTGAGCGTCGATGAGTGGAAGCTGATCGATGGGAGTGGCGACACGTAAGCAAGAGACGTGTGCAGCGAGAAGCTGGTCATAGAGAGGGTGGGCGGCTATCTCGGCCTTGAGTTGCCGGAGGTGGTCACCGGAAGCTACGTCTCCGTTAAACCCACCACCCATCATTCCCAAGCTTGGTTCTGATTGCATATCCTGATATGAATGAAGTCACTGCAAGGTCACAGAGCAAAAGGGGTTGAAGACTAGGCAGCGAATTATAAAGAGAGGACAAGGTGAGAGAGTTGAGGACCACTCTAAGACACGAATAGGAGAAGGGAAGCTTTGGTGGGAGATCGTGTTTTGCCAAGAGAGAGAGAAGCAGACAGTTTTATCGTTTTTTTGGCTAGAGAAAGAGGGAAAGAGAGAAGCCGTATATTGGGATCTGGGACACAAAACTTTCTGCTCTTACCACTGATAGAAACAAAGATCTTTACAGACACAGAGAAAGAGGGAGAAGCAGAGGCATTAAAACGATTTATATGCGGGTTCTTGCGTGTCTCTGCGCTTAAGAGAGAAGGGAAAAGCAGATGTATTCAAGTTTTGTTTTGAATCTGTGAGAAGAGGGGGGAGAGAGTGGGGAGGGAAAGAGAAAAGAAGGAAGCTGCAGAATCATTACTATGAAAGGAGGTCGGAAGCGAGGTCAGAAGAAAAGAAGATAAAGCTGCTTTGGCCTGACAATTTAATTTCTTTTCTTTTTTTCGTTTTCATTTTTCTGAGTTTCCAAGTGTCCTATTTTCTCTTGGAGCTAAGGTTAGGTACGTTGATATGATGTTGATTGGTGATCATAATTTTGGGTTGGCCGCGGACAATTGTTTTCCCACATGGATTTGCTCATTTAACCTTAAGAATTATTGAGAGTACACTTTTTACACAGTTTTTTTGGTCTGCGAACTTTTGTATACCTTCTCATGTTTGAATACGTTTGGAAACGTTGGATAAAACTAATTTCTAATTTAACTTATTTTTATAACTAAAATTAAAATAAAAGTCAGTTAGGATATGTGTTTTTAAAAAGTCAGTTGAAAAAGTTAAAAGTTGTTTGGATGACTAATAGAAAAATTAGTTTAGTTGTAGAATAACTGAAAAAGACATAGATTTTATTGAATAATAATGTTTAAAATTTTATATTTTTAATGTGATAATAGTTTAAAAAATACATAAAACTATTATGATAAAATATAAATAGTTTATTTGTGAAATTATAAAATAAAAATATTTGTTACAGAAAAAATTTGAAAACACATTGTAGATAATTAATTAATACATATAATAGACAAACATGAATATAAATTAAAATTCATTTGGTCTGAATAAAGGCTTATTTTGCTAATAAAGGAGATGAAACAGAGGGAAAAATATAAGGGTAAATCTGGAATGCTCATTTTTAATGATCACCATTTGAAACTGCAGTTTGAAAAGTTAGATTTTCCTCTGTTGAGTCCAATTGAGGTTGAAGGCCAAAAGTTGGTTAGAAAAGTTAGCCAAGCCAAATAATATTTTTTATCTAACTCAATTTGTAATCTCAATTTCACCATTTTCAAGACACTTTAATCGTTAGAAACGGGCAATTCAAACATGCACTAGACTTTCTAAACCACAAAATGATAAAATATAATCCACAAATCTCAATTTTATTTATTTATTTTGTTTTTTTTTTGGAAAAAAAATTGTCACCAAGACACCAACCTTTATTGAATTCGAAGCTTGTTAATTAGTTGTTCAGAAAGTGATGAGGTGAAGGTTGAGCTTTCAAACGTTTCTCTTTTTCATTATGAACTCTCCTTATTCGTTAAGCTTGAATAATTTTGATGAATATAAATAATTGTCCAAATATTCTGGTACGGTGGGTGAAATCAAATCAAATGTACCCACATTGCAGTTAGCAAGAGGAACGCACCTATCTATTATTTAAATTTAAAATTTAAAATTAGGGAAGGAAAAAAAAAGGGTGACACATCACCACCAAATGTGTAATTAAAGGGTTTAATTAGATTAAATTAATAGCACCATTCAGGTAAGGCCTATAATTGGGAGCACCGATCCCAATATTGCCATTGTCACCCACCACCGTCTCAAGATTTTCTTGTATTTGTCACATCCCTCCAACTATGTCTATTTTCATAAATCAATCGATGTATTATAATTAATTGTTATTCTTTATGTGACCAACAAAAGATTCGGATTTGAGGATTAATAAAATATAATATAGTGTGGGTAGAGATAAGTGGTTATTTATATATATGCGGTAGGGACTGTAGAAGTTGCTTAATTGGTGGTGGGTACATGGTGGTTGAACCTAAAAAGATTAGAAAAAAAAGAGAAAAAAAAAATAAATTAAAATTAAGCGGTATGAGCAAATTAAAATTAAATGAAATGAATGTAGGCGCTTTACTTTTGTTTCAAGTGTGGGTGGTAGCGTTGAAAACTAGGAAGCGTTTTATCCAAAATCCCCAAACCAGATAGGCTTCTAAGCAATGTCTCGCGTATATAGAAAATTTGTCCAGTTATGATTTAGGTTTGCTTCCACCGAGAAATATATGGAGTATGTGTGCATATATTCATATATTCTTCCTCTAGTTCTATATATAAATTATCTTCTAAAAATAATTAAAATATTGACGGCCTTTTTTAACAAGTACTCCTCCGATCCTAATTATAAGACCCAATTGACTTATTTGAGGAGATTAAGGAAGTAAGTTAAGTTGGTTATTTATAATAAATAAGTGTTATTATTCCTAAAATATCCTTGCTAATTAAGTATATTGGCTAAAACTATCATTATTAGAAGGATTCTCTTGGAAACAAATGCATAAATATAAGAGAGAAAATGGATTGGGTCTTATAATTAGGACCAAATAAAAAATCAAATTGGGTCTTATAATAAGGACCGGAAGAGTATTTATTTGGAATTATTTATATAAATACTTATAAGTATGTTTCATGTGAGTCGAGACAAAATTTTTCTCTTATAGTTATTTTATACTTCGTAGATCTCGATTAAAAAGCTGCTGATAAATCATTCCAACAATCCTAAGTGATTTTATATTAAAACATATATAAATTGAATTTTTTAAAAGCAGCGTTAATAATTTAACTGTCTCTTTTCGGTTCTAATGAGTTAGTTGGAGTGAATTATATAGTAGTATAAGAATGGAAGGAGTACATGCACACACGTTTGCCTTGAGGAGTTAAAAATCATAATTATATGTTAGCCAACAAGAAAAGGAAAAAGAAGGCCAAATATGAACGTGAAAGGAACACTTAATGGTGCAAATTCATAAATGTGGAATACAAAAGCCAAACTTGCGTCTGATGCTTCCATGGAATAGCTTCACCCGCACGGTGCACAGAAACAAGAAATCCTGTGAACCAGATGAAGTGGTAGGGTCCGACGTCGTTTTCTCCAGACGTTTTCTGGTATTCCCTCTCCAACTGATATTCATACCAATATATGTGTGTATATATATATATTATTTATTAATAAGGATTCAAGGCATTTACTTATATCCCCACCCCCAATCTCAAATAAAACAGGAAATTTTAATTTTTTTTTTTAAACCATTGGGTGAATGGGGCTCTGAGTTTCTTCTTCTTGAAATGTTTACCTGAAAGCCATTTTCATCGCAGTTGTGCTTACAGTTCTGATTAGACTCTGATGCAAATCGATGAAGAAGAAGTGGCATCTGATTGAGGAAATTATAACCGTCTCGCACCTTGAGAAACTGACTACAAAAGATTAAAATATACATTGCGTGAGGTGATCGAGCTGCATGCATTTAGAAACCCTAATAATTTAAACATGACAGAGCATTAATTAATGAGAACGAACAGGCCAGGGAGGAGAAAAAGCAACAGTAAAAGATAGGACGTAGTCTTCGAGAAAAGAAACCGTCGCAGGTGATGGCGGTGGTCGACGGAATTAAGCAGCTGGGTCACCATCACAGCTGGAGATTTGTCGTGTTCTTCAGCAGAAAAAAATGAAGCCCCTGCACTGTACACAAGAAGTGGTCCCCCTTATCATCAACACGGATTTAATTCAAAAGACAAATACGAGGCCAAGCAAAGCAAAGCAGAAAGCAAACGCAACTGGGGAGTGATGTGATAATCACTAATCAGAGATGCCATCCCATCACTCCCAATAAGCAACTACGCTTTTTAATTTCCCACTATTTCTTTCTTTTTTCTCCTCATCATCCAAATCCCACTTTTTCTATTAATCAATTAATTCAGCCATTAGAACTTTGTTTTATTAAAATGAATTCTAATAATCATCCGGTGCTTTCACCATTCCTGAAACAATGGCACTAAACAACAACAATTTGCTGAATTTAACCTTGCGACGCTTTGGTTGGTTGTCGGTGCTTTAATTGGATCCTCCTTCTCTTGTTTTATCTTCGTGATCGCACACCATAGCTTGTGCCTTGTGGGGCGTAGGCCCGCGTGAAAGCAACGTACATTAGCCTGGAACGAGTTTAATTGCGGGAAACAGGCCAAAATTATTCTGACAGAACTACTTCCTACTTTTTTTCATCAAATTTCTAGTAAGGAGAATAACCAAAAAAAAAAATGAAAATTATTATATCCTTCGGTAACAACACTTTATTTGGGGACTAGATCCTCTCAGAATCCATTTTTCTCATTTTCTTCTCAAAATCTCATTTTCATCATTAGATCAAATAATAAATGATTCAGATTTGATATTTTAAAAAGTGGATGTCCACTTTTTCTCTCCTATTTATGTAATATTATAATAATAGTTTTATAAAGTATAAATTTGAACCATCCATTATTTAATCCAACAATAAATATGAGATTCTGAGAAGAAAAGGAGAATGAATGATTCTGAGAGTATCTCCTCCCTTTTATTTGGTGTTGACACTGAATTTGCAAATGGTAAAAAAATTTTGTTGACATTCTTTATTTGATATTTATAAATTTTCAGCTTTTTTTTCTGGTCATTTTTTCATTCTTGTATCTATTTTAAGTTTTTAGTGTTTTATTTTTGCAATATTAACATTTAATTATAAATATACACAGCCATGTGTAAATGGAAAATTTGATATAATGGGTATAAAAAACTTGATTTAAGTATCTCCTTTTTCAAAACACCACTCTTCCTATGATAAATATATGCTATCAATATATACTTACCTAAATATTAAAAAAAATTAGTTAAAGATAGTTTAAGTCAATAATTTTGTGTCAAAACTTTAATTATTTTTTAGATGTCGTTAATTAAGTGGTTTATCTCATTCCATGAAAAATTCCCTCTTTTTCTTGTTGAACTAGTAGCAAGAGGTTTTTTTTTTGGTATTAAAAAAGACTAGCGTGAGGTTTTTTATTTAAAGAAAAGGCATTTAATGATTTAAATAATTTTGAAAAATGATCCATATTTTAGATTTAAACCCACAAAACTGCCCTATAAATAACTTGTATTTTTTTTAGTTGCCCACGGTATCCTCCTACATTAACGGTAAGATACTAATTTATCGGGATATTGTTAGACGCCGTAATGAAAACCATTCCTAACAGTATTTTTTTCATATACACCGTCCCAAGAATCAAACTCAGGGCATGATGTTTAAGGTGCTCAAGTCCACCCTACTTGA